AGCTTATAGTTCTCCCCTTCCCGCGCTTTGCCCCGTTGCTAAGTTACATATTGCAGGTTGCAGATTACCAATTGCCCCAGTCATCCCCCCTGTTACCCCAATGGCAGGTTCAGCCCAGTTCTCATTGTCCCTTGATTGCTCTGCCCCACCGGTGTGGTCGTGTTTCCTCTGGGTCCTTTCAGTTGCGCGCAAAGCCGGGGTTTTCCCAATCGCGCGCTGATCGTATTTCCGCGAGCCACGGCTTAGTCCTTTGTCTCGGCGCTCACAGGTAATCAGAGTGGATACAAAACATCCACTCTGCGGTTTCTTGTTAAGTGGGCGCAGGTGGCTCGTTAATCAGCCACGGCTTTCACTTCCTCTTTTCCCCAGCTTACGAGCGGGCGGTAGAACTGACTCAGCACAGCTGGGCAAGTTCCTAGCCGTGCCACACCGGCTGAATCTGACATACCGCCCCCCTGAAGACAGACCCCCCCTTACTTTGGCTTCCCAGGATGCTGGTCATAAAAGTCCCGCACTAACTCTGACGCTTTCACGTGGGCTCTGCTTACCCATTCACTGTGTGACTTTGAGAAATGCTTCCACTGCAATAGCAGTTGGATCTGTCCCTTGTGCCTCCTTGAGTCCAATATTTGTTTTATTTCGAAGTGCTGCTCCCCGCCGACCATGATGGGTGCCGGGGTTGGCTCTTCTTTGTGCCAACTGTTGCCCGGTTGGTGTAGCTTCAATAAGCTGCAGTGAAATACCGGGTGGATCTTTCCGAGGGCTTTGGGGAGCGTTAGCCTGACGGTCACGGATTGATTATTTCCGCAATGGGAAATGGCCCCACGAACCACGGGCTGAGCTTGTTCAATGCTTGGTGCGTCTTTAAGTTTTTAGTTGAGAGGTACACTTGGTCTCCCACCTTCCACTGCCACTCGGGGAGCCTCTTGCGGTCGGCGTACTTTTTATAGTCCGCTCTGGCCCCTTGCAGCGCCGTGTGTGCTGCTTGCCTCGTGGAGTCTATCTGGGCGAACCAAGTGTCCAATGAGTCTATCCGGGATGCTGGCTGGAGTAGTTCCGGCATAGGGACGAAATCTCACCCGGTGGCCACCTTAAACGGGGTGAAGTCGGTGCTTTTATGGATGGCGTTGTTATATGCTACTTCCGCGAATGGTAGTAGCTCCGCTCAGTCATCCTGCTGGTGCCCCACGTAGCACCGCAAGTACTGTTCTAGACCCGTTAAGGTGTTCTGTGGCTCCATCCATTTGTGGATGCACTGCGGAGGAGAGGGCTTGCTGCATTCCCACTCATTTCAGGAACTCCCGCCAAAATTGTGTGATGAAGTTCCCGCTTCGATCCCTGACGATCCGTCGGGGCGCGCTGTGCAACCGGTAGATGTGTTGCACAAACAGTTGCGCTAACCTCTCCGCCATGGGGACTTGCCGGCAAGCCACAAAGTGCGCTTGCTTGGAGAACAAGTCGGTTACAACCCAAATGGCTGTTTGTCCCTTGCTCTCCGGAAACTCCATGATGACATCCATAGCAATCTCCTGCCATGGACCATCGGATGTCGCCACCGGCTGGAGTAGTGCCCGAGGCTTGCCGTTGCTTCCCTTCACCGTCACACAGACCGGGCAACCCCCCCATGTACGCTTCCACGTCCTTCCGGAGCGTTGGCCACCAGAACTGCCGCCGGATCAAGTGAAGAGTCTTCACGAAGCCGTAATGCCCCGCACTCCGGCTGTCATGGACTCTCTCCATTACCCCCCATTGGCATTCTTCAGGCACGTACACTTTCCCCTCGCGCCACCACAAATCCCCCTGGCTCGTCAATGAGCCCCGGTTCTCAAGTGCCCTGCTCCGTGGCTTCCGAAAAACCCCGCTTTAGCTCCAGCTCCGCGTCCCTTACCTCTTTCTTGGTTTGACTTTGGGTAACCGCTTTCACAGCCAGCCTGCCCGCAGGGACGATGGAGTCCACAATCTCCTCCCGCTAGCTCGCATGCTGGGGCATACGAGATAGTCCATCTGCTAAAAAGTTCCTTTTCCCCGGGATATGTTTGAGGACAAAGTCAAACCTCCCAAAGTACTGGGACCAGCGCGCCTATTTTGGTGACAGCCTCCGTGGGGTTTTCAGTGCTTCAAGGTTCTTGTGGTCCATCCACACCTCGAACGGCTGGGCTGCCCCCTCTAGCAGATGTCTCCAGGTGGCTAGGGCCCACTTGACTGCAAACGCCTCTTTCTCCCACACTATCCACCTCCTTTCTGTCTCAGTGAATTTGTGGGAGGCGTAGGCACATGGGTGAAAGGGGCCCTCCGGGCCAGGCTGCAGCAGGACTGCTCCCATTGCTACATCCAATGCGTCCACCTGGATGACGAACTACTGGTCCGGGTCGGGGTGGCATAGGATCGGTTCCGCCGTGAACCACCACTTCAAATCCCCAAACACCACTTGGCACTCTGCGGTCCATGCAAGGGGCATGCTGGGTTTGGGCAGTTTTTTGCTGCCTCGGGTTTTGAGTAAGTCCATTAGCGGTAGGGCGACTTGGGCGAAGTTTGGGATGAACTGCCTGTAGAAGTTTGCAATTTTAAGAGTCTCTGAAGCACCGTGCGCACCAGTTTCACGTGTTCAGTCAGGGTTTTGGAGTATATTAGTATGTCGTCCAGGTATACCAGGACGCCCCGGTAGAGTAGATCATGCAGCACCTTGTTTATTAGTTGCATGAACACCCCTGGGGCCCCTTTTAACCCAAACGGCATCACACGGAATTGGAAACTTCCAAGCGGGGAGTTAAAACCGGTTTTCCACTCGTCCCCTGCGCGGATCCTGACCCTGAAGTACGCCTCGCGCAAGTCCAGTTTGGTGAACACCCTCCCCTTGGATAGATGTGATAGCAAGTCTTTCATCAAGGGGAGGGGGTAATTATATTCGGTGCTGATTGTGTTCAGGCCCCGGTAATCCACACACATCCAGAGCGAGCCGTCTTTCTTCTCCCAGAATAGTACCAGGGCCGCTAATGGTGACTTCGCGGGTTGAATAAAGCCCCGCATGAGGTTTTTGTCTATGAACTCCTGAAGGGCGCCCATCTCCTTCCCTGACAGGGAGTACATTTTCGGTTTGGGCAGCTTTGCTCCTGGCTCGAGTTCAATGGCACAGTCACTGGGTCTGTGGGGTGGGAGTTGATCGGATTCCTCCTCACCGAACGCTGCCACTAAATCCTGGTACTGCCGCTGGATGCTCCCTGACTCTGCTGCTCTCCCTGTTCCGGGCTCGCGCACCACAGTTGCCCTGTCAGCCATCGTTGCTGGCAAACCCCTCAGCACTGAAACTGCCACCGCCTCTCTGGGTTCCAGACCCGCTGTTGCCGCTGCTGTGGCTCCCATCCCAGTCCGCTCATCCTCTGTCTCCGGGCACTCCGGTATCTCTGCCTGCCTCGTTGCAGCTGCGCCTCCTCTCATTGCCGGCTGTTGGTGTCCCCTGCACTCGCGATCCCGCGGCTCTCCGTCCCCAAATCTCAGCGCCTCCGATGCCTAGTCGATGCATGGGTTCCGCCACTGCAGCCACACCAAGCCGAGCACTACTGCGTAATCGGCAATCGGGACCACCACGAACTTCAGCTCCTCTTGGTGATCCCCAATCATCATTCGGACCAGCTCGGTGTAGTACTGAGCCGGTCCCCCCCTGCAAATGATCCGTCAAGTTGGCTGAAGGCGATGGGCTCCTTGAGTCTCCGCACTTGGAGTCCGAGCCCTGAGACTAGCACTGGGTGCATCAGGCAATGCATACACCCAGAGTCCAGCAGCGCCTGCGGTTGCGCTTCAGCCCTGGACCTTACCCCCAGGATGTGTATCCTCACCCACATGGGAGGGCAGTCCTCGTCCACTATCGGATCCACGCGTCTCGGCTCCTCTGCCCGCACTGGGATGCCATTCAGTGCGAGCACTGCTTGTTTCCTGCCAGCCCCGACTCTTCTCCAGAAGATGCCATCTTGGAGATAGACCACCTGGCTCCGCCACTCTCTGCTGCCGCTGCCCCAACCCCCTTCCGCTGCCGGTCAGGTGCTTGCCTCCCAGGTGTCTTTGCGGGCCTGGCATCTGGCCAGGGTGGGGCCCTGTCTCGCTCCATTGGGCACTGCGATGCCCGATGGCCTCGCCCCCCACACTGGAAACAAAGGTTGGGGGTTTTTGACGCCTCTCGCCCCCCCCGTGGGCTGTCGTCGGCTGTTTCACCCCTCCTCAGCAGCTCTCTTGTGCGGGACATCTCTGGTCGGCTCCCGTTTCCTCGCCCTCTGCTGGATCTGCTGCTACACTGACTCCGCCGTCCCCGTCAGGCAGATCCAATCTTTCAGGGTGGTTGGGTCATCCTGACCAAGCGCCCTCTCGAGGATCTCCTGGTTGAGGCCCCTCTTGAAATACGGAAAAACCCTCAGGGACTCCAGCCAATCCATAAGTTTCTCTGCCAGCCATCGAAACTCCAAAGCATATTTGGCCACCGACTTCTCCCTCTGCCTTAAGCGCAGGATGTTGTCCCCGGCCCGCCTGGTGCTCAAGGTATCCTCGAATCGGTCCCGGAGTGCCTGCATGAACTCTGGGAACCTCCTCACCTCCACCACATTGGCGTCATACAACCAGACCACCCAGCTAGCCGCTTGGCCCTCTAACAGCTCCACCACGTAGGCGACCCTCTCCTCGTCACCCGTGAACAGGTGACCACTCCGCTTCATGAAGTTGCAGACCTGGGTTAAGAAGCAAGGTAACTGCTCGGGATCCCCCGAGAATTTTCCGGTGAGGCCCTGAAGTCTCAGCGCGTCTGCTGCCCGCTGATCCACCATCCTGGGAGCTGGCACTGGAGCCGGTTGGGGTGCCGAGTCGCTGCCACCATCGCTCGCCTCTTCCTCCGCCTGCACTCCTGTTGTCGGGGCCCCGGCTCCCAGTAGTACGGCCTGTAACATTACCTGAATGGCATCAAGACCCTGGTCAACCTTTGCCTCCAACTGGGTGAGTCTCTCCTCCAGCCCGCGGGTCCTGGACCCCAAGCCACGGCTCGTTGTGACCCCCGACTCGTTGGGTCCCTGGTTTACACTGAACAATCACCAGTCCTCAGGCACTCTTTCGGCCACGGCCGAGCCCCCCTCACTCCGAGTTGGTTCTGCCATCACTTCCTTGGTTCCGGGCTCCTCGTTATCCCATTGGCTAGCAGATTCCCCGTCGCTGGCCATCACCTGTACTGGAAAAGAAATAAGCGCTCCTCGGCGTGTACCGGGTAGCGTTCAATGGAGAGTCCTGGCTTTATGTAAGGTTACTCCGTTCGTCTAGAGAAACTCCCGTGACATGTGTATTCAACAAAGAAATTTACTCAAGCATAATGCAGCAGTTACAAACAAAGCCAGGACTGGCTTGGCACATTTCATGGTACAGTTTATAGTTCTCCCCTTCCTGCGCTTTGCCCTGTTGCTAAGTTACATATTGCAGGTTGCAGATTACCAATTGCCCCAGTAATCCCCCCTGTTACTCCAGTGGCAGGTTCAGCCCAGTTCTCATTGTCCCTTGATTGCTCTGCCCCATTGGTGTGGCTGTGTTTCCTCTGGGTCCTTTCAGTTGTGCGCAAAGCCGGGGTTTTCTCAATCGCGCAATGATCGTATTTCCGCGAGCCACAGCTTAGTCCTTTGTCTCGGCGCTCACAGCTAATCAGAGTGGATACAAAACATCCACTCTGTGGTTTCTTGTTAAGTGGGCATAGGTGGCTCGTTAATCAGCCACGCTTTCACTTCCTCTTTTCCCCAGCTTATGAGCGGACGGTAGAACTGACTCAGCACGGCTGGGCAAGTTCCTAGCAGTGCCACACCGGCTGAACCTGACACACACATCTTCAAGTTGCTGAGGTTGAGAAACACTGGGTTAGCTGCTGAGCAAAGAGAAGTGGGGGGTGGAATTGACTGAAACTGATAAATACAGGGAAACTGGCAAGTGATCACAGACACACACCCTCTTTTTCCCTCCAAAAAAAGTACTAGTTTTAAATCAGTGCAACTTTATACTGGTGAAGGCTGTCACAGCCAGTATCTGTTGGGCAGTGTTGGGCTTCAGGGTCTAAGTGACCATGGTCTAGAGAACACATTTCCTGACATTTCACTGAAAACTGTGACTGACATCTCCAAGAACAAAGCCATCTACCACACAACTGACTGACTGGGCTCCTGTTTTTATAGCCAGGAGTCCTGACTTCTGATTGGCCTTTAGCAAAGATGATTTCCAATTGGTGCAGATTGGTGAGGGCCGGTCTCTGATTGGCCCTTTGTTCGTGCCAGCTTCTGATTGTCAATTTGGGAGAGCTGATTCCTGATTGGTTCTTGGTTTGTGCTGGGTTCTGGTTGGTTAGTCTGAGCAGCTGAGTCCTGATTGGGTCCAAGCAAGTTTCTGAGTTGCTCATGGTAATTTGTGTTTCTCCTCCTTTTTACAGGGTGTTAGTAGGTGCTCCACTTCAGAGGGGGGATGTGAACGAAACGGGGAAAGTCTACAAATGCCAGGCGATATCAGGCAAATCAGGCGGATGCCAGGAGGTAGTTTTCCAAAGTAAGCACTAATCTGGGACCCTTGGATCCCTTACTGTTTAAGTGAGGAACCCCACCATTTAATATTGACTTACTTATGACTTATGTTCCTCTCCCTACTCATATTTTAAGCAGTTATATGTTGTATATTGAGTTTCCAGAAAATAATTTATTTGGGTTGAAGCCGCTCAGGGCCAGAGTATGTAAACTGTATTGCATTTCCCTCTCTTTGGGGGAGGTCCATTCACATGATAAACCAAGCCTTGATCAGTCCTGGTAGATTCCTATCAGGCATGCCTGCAGTTTAGGAAAGTGGGTGGGCATTACATGACCAATTACTGAGAAAATCAAGGTTTACAGAACGATAACTCATCGCAGAGGGTAGCATGTCTTGTTAGTCAGGCTGACAGCAAGGAGACATGGAAGGCATATTGCTACTCTGGCAAAATGTTGTCACAGTAAATTCAAGGGGTGATCTTGGCTAGAGGTCCCTCATGAAGAAAATCTCTGGGCATTGCAATCTCTCCTCCTGTTGAGTTGCAACTGAGAGTAAAAGCTGAGAGAGATGGGATTTGTGACTTACTCTGGACCAGACGGCATGGCTCTGCTCTTATCATTTTGCAGCTAAACTGCACCTTTTGTAAGAGAAAAAATTAGAACAAAGACAAATTTAATTAAATCCAATAAGATCTGAATTCCCAAGGGGTGGACTAAATGATTTATTTAATGGGCACACAAGTATTGCAAAGCTCTGGATCTCTCTGTCCTTTGTGCTGCCTGAAATCTCATTTCCACAAGTCCAGGAAAGAAAACTGCAGTGAGGACAAATAGCTGTTTCCAGGAGTGTTGATGAGAAGCAAAACTCTAGTGATCGAGAACTGGCAATCAGACAAAAGTTGTGCTCTTTGTAATTTATTTCTGCAAATCTATACTTTAAAGTTATTTGAACTTCACAAAAAATGGATGCCCTACTTACTGCTGCAGAAAGACCTTGCATTCACTTAAAAAGTAAACCATCTATTGTAAATACAAAGTTAACGTTTCTCAGGTATAAAAATTAAAACTTGAATTTCACAATTACTTGGGAGGTAAATGTTTTAACCAAACAAATCAATGTTTAATGACTGGGATGTGATTGCTTTTCCTTACAAAAAAGGATGTTCCCAGCAGTTTTCACATGATTTCTTTTCTTTTCTTTTCTTTTCTTTTCTTTTCTTTTCTTTTCTTTTCTTTTCTTTTCTTTTCTTTTCTTTTCTTTTCTTTTCTTTTCTTTTCTTTTCTTTTCCTTCCCCTCCCTCT